AACGAAGTGGAAAGCACTTTCGGCACATAGCCGTGTCTCGGTTTGATGACAACTCTACAGTCGTTAGGCCCAAACTGACTGACAGTGCTTGCAGGTCACCCACTCGTTTGACTCTCCATTCTCTTGGAGCTGCATTGTTCCTTGGACAGCATGTCTGCCCCCTGGTTCAGTCTGCCTGGCACACAAACTGCTCTCAGTGAGAGGAGATTGCCCTGTGCCCATAAAAGGAGGCGTCAAGCCAACCTGTGAAGGGGGCGTGACCTGAGACCGCCTTGGTGATTGATAAAGGCTATAACTATCATATTGTCCGAACGGACCAGAATGTGGTGCCCCCTTAAGGCCAGCAGAAAGTTTTTTAGGGCCAGAAAAACCGCCATCACCTCGAGGCAGTTCATGTGCAAGCGCTGCTCCAGGTTTGACCAGGAGCCAGACACCGGTCTGCCTTTGTGCAGAGCTCCCCAACCCAAGTTGGAGGCATCTGTCCGCTGAACAGTCAGGGAGTGTTCCCGACGTAATCCATGCCCGCATTTGGGCAGAATCGATAACTGTCCCCAGAAAGACCACTCACTGGCTGGGAGACAAGGAGCTCTTGGATAAATTGATTCTGTGATACAGGGCTATCTGGATGTGAAAGTAAGCGTCTTTCAGATCTACTGAGAGAAACCAGTCCTCGGGACATACTTGCACGAGGATCTGTTTCAAAAGTTAACATCTTGAACAGCCGTCTCATACGCAAGTGGTTCAGATGCCTGAGATCGAGAATGGGTCTGAGCTCGCCATCTTTCTTGGGAACAAGGAAATAACGGCTATAAAAACCTGACTCGCTGTTTGCTAGAGGAAACATTTCCATAGTTCCTTTTGCAAGCAGTGTTTGTACTTCGGACCGGAGAACATGAGCATCATTGTCCCGCACCTAAGTCTGAATAATAACTCTGAAGTGAGGTGGTCTGCGAGCGAACTGAAGCGAGTAACCTCGTTTTACGGTTTTTAGAACCCAACTTGACACATCCAGGATAGCTTTCCAAGCCTGAAGCCGGAAGGCAAGTGATTCTAGTTTTTCAAATGGTAGTTCATTCATTTGTGGTAATGAGGAGAGGAGAAATGCACTTTTGAGTATGTGGGTCCACTATCACAGTGGTAATTTGCTTCAGCACGCACTGAATGAGAAGGACAGGCCCAGCTTGAATGGAGCTTCCATCGCTCGGTGTTAAGTGGAGGGATGGAGAGTGAGCGCAAGCTTTCTTGGAGGGAGTTCCGGCCTCAGCGAGAACTGACCCTCTCCTCTTCCTCTCTTCTTTTGGATCAGGGCGGCTTCTGAGGCTCAGGGTTCAACGTCACTCTGGGGCGGGGACATTGGCGCTTTTGGAAATGGGTAGCGTTTCGGCATCCGGGGGCATTGCTGAAGCCCAGGCTCAGGTTTAAGCTGTGGCTGAGGCGATGCAATGACTTCTGTGCCGCTGTAAACCGCTCAGCAATCACATCCACGGCACGGCCAAACACTCCCTTAGGAGAGACTGGCGAGTCTAGGAAGGCGACCTTGTCAGCGTCCCTGATATCGGTCAAATTCAGCCAAAGGTGGCACTCCAGCACCACCAAATTGGCCATGGTCTTGCCGATTACCTGTGCAGTGGCCTTAGTAGCACACAGAGCCAAGTCAGTCGCTGTGAGCAGCTCTTTAAAGGCATCAGAACTCTGGCCGGACTTGTCCATGGAGCGGAGAAGTTTCGGCCTGGAACACTTGAAGCACCGCCATCATGTGAAGCGCTGAGCCAGTCTGGCCAGACACTGAATAAGCCCTGTTTTTTAGGGCTGAGGTAGTCCTGCAGGGCTTAGATGGATGTGCTACATGGGCTGTCAACCCCAGGGCCAATGGAGGGCACAGATGCACAGCGACTTCCTCTTCCAGAGGGGGGAGCTTGCTATAACCTCTTTCTTCAGCGCCATCAACAGTGGTGAGAGCGGTGGAAGCAGAGGGATTAACACATGCCACATCCTGGTGAGTTCCTCGTGAACTGCCGGCAGGAATGAAGCGGGCCATTGGCGGGAGGAATGTTGACGGTCCCTTCAGGTACCACTCGTCAAGGAGGCTCTGGGTGTGATCTTCCGAAGCCAACCAAGCCAGGCCAAGATCCTCCACAGCCTTAGTTAGAACGCGGATCAACTCGCTGTCCACGCTGGGCCGTGTTGTCTGCATCAGAGGTGGGGTTTCGGGTTCTTTGCCGGAACACACCCACTCTTCAGCATCCGAAGCAGTTAATGACATGGAGTCATCCATGGCGGCTTCCTCCTCAGACGCACCGAAGGAAATCAAGCCGCTCACAGCCGACGAGGGGCGCCGATCATCACGTGTGAAGCACACAGACGAATAGAGGCGTTGGGGGAAGAGTAAAGCACACGGTCCTCCCCGCTCTGCTCTCCCGTTTCCTCTCTCCCCAAGCAGAAAGAAACAGCGGGGCTTTAACACCGGGCTAGAGTGAACTCAGCAATCCCATCCTTGGTACGGCCAAACAGCCCCTTAGGAGAGACTGGCGAGTCTAGGAAGGCGTCCCTGATCTCTGTCAAATTCAGCCAAAGGTGGCGCTCCAGCACCACCAAAATGGCCATGGCCTTGCCGATTGCCTGCGCAGTGGCCTTAGTTGCGTGCAGAGCCAGGTCAGTTGCTGTGCGCAGATCTCTAAAGGCATCAGAACTCTGGCCGGACCCCGGCGGAGAAGGGCGAGACTCATGCTCCTGCAGTGAGAGCATGCCGTTGCAGTGAGCGCAGCCTCTGCATGGGCGCTTCCCAGACAGGCGTTGCACTCACTATGCCCATCTGTATCAAGCCTCACTTACGGTATGACATTTGCAGCAACGTCACTCTCAGAAATTTGCCAAATGGCTGCATGGGAAGGCTTCTGGCTTCTTCCGCTGCTGGGGGCTCCTTCTACGGTGACGAGCAGCAGGCTAAGCTGAGCTTCTTCCTTCTTAGGCTTCTTGCTTGCAGAGTCAGCAAGATTATCTTCATCGCTGAAGGAGAAAAATTCTGACAAAATGGCACTCAGAGCCGACTTATATAGAGGTCGGCTCCTCCCCTTTTGGCGGGTTGAACCGGCATTGGTTCGTGCAACTACACGAACGTGAACAAATCGGGCTTCAGTATCAGAGTAAACAGGAGTTTCCCCATAAGCGTGTCAATGCAACGGGAGAGACCATTCGAAAGGGAACAGTTATAATTTTCATGCACAGATCGTCTCAAACTCCATCTTTGCATATTGCTGTGAGTTTGGGTTTATTATAACGTTCATCTGGGAACAATGTGCACCATTCAGATTTATCAGATTTATCACCATATCAGATTTATAAGGTAAATCATTTATAAACCTATGCCAACACAGGAGAATACATCATCTTTCTAAATATGCGAACTGTTCGTTGCGACTTCAAAATAAAAGCTCAAACCCTCACTCTGATGTTTTGAAGTCATCGTGTTCTTGTTCAAGAAATGACCGTGGCTGTAGCATTTCTACCATAAAGAAGTGGCCAAATATTAAAGATTAAGTGGATATTTAAATTAAATGTTGTTTATTCAATATTAAACAAGGATTAGATCGCGCTGTAAAGTGTAAAAACAATCGTCAGGCCTTTGGCGCCTCTGCAGGCATTTGATATAATACATAATGTACATAAGTTATGATTATATTGTTTTATTACATTATGTACTTTAACTGTTTTGTTCAATAAAACCATATGATTACTTGTTTTTGATATTTTATTTGAACCAAATTATTATTGCCTCATTGCTATTATATATGTATTTTAAGTCAGTAAAGTCTATTGTTTGCATCGGTCTATTTTTATTAACACACTCGATTAATTGTCAGAATAATCGACCGATTACTCGATTACCAAAATAATAATTGGTGACGGCCCTAAATATCTGAATAAAATTCCAATAAATAATCTGAATCATATTTTTAAAGTCAACATGAAAACAAAGCAGATTATATCATTTCTAAATACATTTTTCTGGTCTTGTACAATATCATAAAATTGTAATTTATTATAATTTATATATTTCTTTACTTTCTCCACTTCTAAACCTAAGGTTGTGTGAGTGGAGCAAAACAATATTAACAAAGCAAATTTTTTACATAATTGTAAAATTGTGAGCGGCATTTGTTCAGATCACAAACACTAAGAGTGATTCTTGGCTTAAACACCACTACTAATAAATATCAGCCTAACATGAATAAAAAGATGCTCTGTCCAACATTATTTCCTAATGTTTCACATTCACACTCTACAGAGGAAAACATGTTTCCAATGTTGACTTTAAAGTGTTAATTTAAACACAGGAAGTGAAAGTCCAGGAAATGCATCAAAACTCTTTTATAAAGTCATTGTGAGAGAATAAATAAAGCTGTCAGTGATTGGCTGTAATGATGAGCACATGCTGCATTGTTTAAACCGCATTATTAAAGCGTGCCATTCATCCTCCGAATCATAACAAATACGTTCTGAATATTTGATTGCAGCATTTGTTCATTTGACCTTCAAGACGCCCAAAGACACACTCTGGCCTCAAGGGATACAAAATGCTAATTCAGAGCAGATATTTGGTTCCATCAGTGCATTGTTTGACACCAGAAATCCATTATAAGGACGGATAATGCATCACAACTGCTTCCTGTCAGTCAGTGACTCTAAACAGGAAACAAAAGACGGTTTGTTTGGAGCTATTGACCTCAGACGCAAACCGTAATATGACAAAACCTCAGTGACTGACCGCTATTAACACCTACAAAAACTATTACTTAAACCATTAAATATTCTTTTTATTAACTGAAATAAAGCCAAAATAAAATATAATATAATATTAAACTAAAATGAAATGAAATAAAATAAGTATTAAATTTGAAGTATACTAAAATTACTAAAATTAAAACTGAAATAAAAATAAAGTTACATAAATAATGAATAATTGAATGTTTTTAAAATAATTTTTAGTAGTTGAATTATTATTTCTTAGTTTCATTTTTAGTAATTTTTATGTGCGTTTTATGTTATTTGTTTATGATCTTTTTTTAAAGTTCTTTCTGCTCATTAAGGCTGCATTTATTTGATCAAAAATACAGTAAAAACTGTAATATTGTGAAATATTATTACAATTTAAAATAATTGCTTTCTATTGTAATGTATTTTAAAATAAAATGTATTCCTGTGATGCAAAGCTGAATTATTACTGATTATCATTGGTATTCAGTTATTAATAATGATTCTGATTATTATCAATGTTGAAAACACTTGTGCTGCTGAATATTTTTGTGGAAACCGTGATACATTTTATTTTTCAGGATTCACAGATGAATAGAAGTTCAAAAGATCAGCATTTATTTGAAATCTTTTGTAACATTATAAATGTCTTTACTGTCACTTTTGATCAATTTAATGCATTGTTAATGAATAAAAATATTTATGCATTTTTTAAACTAAATATTACTTACCCCAAACTTTTGAATGGTAATGTATTGCGCTTTCCACAAAAATATTGGGCAGCACAACTGTTTTCAACATTGATAATAATCAGAAATGTTTCTCGAGCAGCAAATCAGCATATTAGAATGATTTCTGAAGATCATGTGACACTGAAGACTGGAGTAATGATGCAGAAAATTCA